TTAGTCACAATGTTAACCACTTTAGAGTTCTTAATAAACCAAGCCGTTAAACCTCTCAGGTAAAAACTTCCACCGGACGTTGTGTTTTCTGCCGCCACGGTGAGCACTTACCTGACCAGGTAATGACACTCTCAGGTAACCTTTGCCACGTCGTGCTCATCAAGCTCAGATCCATCAGGGGAGGGGGGGGGTGACAGCGTCATCCGTGTAATACCCGCTTCTATCCACGGTCTCTTTCCGCCTCCGCTTATTAGGTCCTACAGTGTCTGAAGGTCAGGCTCAGCTAGAAGGTCATGCGTCTTGAAGGTCACGCCGTATATGAAACCCATGGTCAGTAATAAGGCGATACCACAACCTGTGTTTACCAATGCTATCAATTAGCTAGGGTGGGTTATCTATAATTATGTGCCATGAACGAAATAAGAACAGCCAAGATGTGAAGAGTAGGGGGGGGGGGGTACACACCATCAAAGCGCCCCCCCCCCCACCAGTCTCTAGAAGGTTCTAGACCTAACCTTAACCTGAACACAAAGCCTGGCAGAAGTGTTCCACGTGTTCTCAGCCCCACCTGGCAGAGATGGCGTCACGGACACGTCACGGACACGTCACGCACCGTGACGAACAGCTCCGTCACACGTCGGCCTGAGCCAGTAAATGTCACCCCGAGTAGGACCGCGGTAATTACGTGACGATAATTAGCCACGACCCCACACACACACCACGACCCCCCCCCCCCCCCCACACACACACCCCTGTCTCGGTGCTAAATATTTTCTTATCACTTCCTATTGTTACTCTGTCAGCTCATATAGGCCTAGATATATTTTATTCCTTAACAAATTTCTTTTACTTAACATTGGCAGCTACTGTGTTAAATTCATTTATTAAAATTTTACCATCTTATTTCATTTAATTAAACAACTTCCAACTATCCATTTTAATTAAATTAATTGCCTAAACAATCTTTATAGTGACATTTTAAAATTAATTATATCTTATATACTACTGCATTTTTTAACTTAATTCCCTGCAACAGATTAATACAATTTATTTTATTAAATTAACCAAGTATTTAAAATTCTTTTTGTCCAACCATAAACGAATAAAATATGACGTAATTTCTATTTCTACTAAGAATTTTTAAAAGCGTCAGAATTTCCCATTTTTTTGAAAAAATAAAAAGCTATCACCCAAATAATTAATTTTAACCAGTCCAATGTTAAGCCGCCATTTAGCCCGGTACTGAAAGGTCATAATCTTACGTCAGCAGACATCAGTCTGGCCGGCAACGTCCAGAACCAAGACACAACAAAAACATGTCATTTATCCCGACCTAAATCCTCTCTCATGTGGAATCTATTGACACAAGAGGCGACATCCCATTGGATAATTGAGTCAGTTCTCGCGTTATTCAAATCTTATCTCCCGTTGACTTCTCGTCAGGGGAAGTCACTGCGTATGTCAATTACACGCAGAAAATAAACGAGATTTTTACGTCTGTATGTTTTGCAATGCTTTGTGTCGATAACCTTTCACTGTTTAATTTAAAAATGTATCATAACAGAAGAATATTTTAGAATAGACCGTTGCGGACTGAGTTTCATTTCTATAGCTGTAACAAGTATTAGTGCAGAAATAAGGGTGGATGCGAAGCAGAATAGCCAATTTCATTATTTAATGACATCTAACCGTACAAGATTATGTATTTGATACTAATTTTATATGTAGATACGTCTTTCTTTTACTGCTAACCGACTGAAAAATATATCAAATTCTAATTGGGGACAAATTACATTTTAATTAGTTAACTACCGATAATTGCATTTGGCTTTAGTATTTCTTAATGCTTTGGTCCAACATTCTATACTGCTAGTTCTACTAGCTTATACTTTACACAAATTTCTCATTTTCGATCCAAAAATTTTATACTGCTAGCTCTACCAGCCTACACTTTACACACTTTTCTCAACGCTTGATCCAACATTTTATACTGCTAGCTCTACCAGCCTACACTTTACACACTTTTCTCAACGCTTGATCCAACATTTTATACTGCTAGCTCTACCAGCCTACACTTTACACAAATTTCTCAACACTTGATCCAACATTTTATACTGCTAGCTCTACCAGCCTACACTTTACACACATTTCTCAAAGCTAGATCCAAAATTTTATACTGCTAACTCTACCAGCCTACACTTTACACACATTTCTCAACACTTGATCCAAAATTTTACACTGCTAGCTCTACCAGCCTACACTTTACACACATTTCTCAACACTTGATTCAACATTTTATACTGCTAACCCTACCAGCCTACATTTACACACATTTCTCAACGCTTGATCCAATATTTTACACTGCTAGCTCTACCAGCCTACACTTTACACACATTTCTCAACACTTGATTCAACATTTTATACTGCTAGCTCTACCAGCCTACACTTTACACAAATTTCTCAATGCTTGATCCAATATTTTACACTGCTAGCTCTACCAGCCTACACTTTACACACATTTCTCAACACTTGATCCAATATTTTATACTGCTAGCTCTACCAGCCAACACTTTACACACATTTCTCAACACTTGATTCAACATTTTATACTGCTAGCTCTACCAGCCTACACTTTACACACTTTTCTCAACACTTGATCCAACATTTTATAATGCTAGCTCTACCAGCCTACACTTTACACACATTTCTCAACACTTGATCCAATATTTTATACTGCTAGCTCTACCAGCCTACACTTTACACACTTTTCTCAACGCTTGATCCTACATTTTATACTGCTAGCTCTACCAGCCTACACTTTACACACATTTCTCAACACTTGATCCAACATTTTATACTGCTAACACCTGCACACGACCTAATCACCACTCAACAGATAAGCGAACATGCAGACCTTTTTTTTTTTAAACCACGCTTAACATAATGAAGTTTGTTTAGAAAATGAACAGTTTTAGCAATCAGAGGCCATATTCTAAATTAATTTCCGAAGCCCTTAGTAGCCCTAGGTGATAATTTTTAATGTCACAAAGGGGAGGGAGGGATTGGGGGGGGGGGGTTGCAGGGACCATGACATCAAGGCCATAGGCTCTTCTAGAAAGTTCTCGACTATATTTTCTTGACATTAAAAAAAAAAGAAAGAAACCTTAATTCGTTAATTTAAGTTTTAAAAAAAATTAATTACTTTCTCACTATAATTATGTTCAAACTAACTCAGATTATAAAAAAGTGCATTTCGCCGACGTAAAAAAATAATTAAAATTAAAACAATTATTTACTAAACCATGATCACAACGAAACGGGATAAAAAATGTATTGAAATTAAATTAATAAAAGGCATGTATAATCAATGCGCCCTTGTTAAATAAATATTTTGCCGCATGTATTTGCTAGTTAAAAATAAATCATCAAAGCATTGCGTATACTTTTGTTTTATTACATTTTAAATTCAGCATCTGCATTTCACTTTGATGATTTAAGGGCTATATTTGAGTATATATATATATATATATATATATATATATATATATATATATATATATATATATATATATATATATATATATATATGTATATATATATATAGGCCTATGTATATATATATATATATATATATATATATATATATATATATATATATATATATATATATATATATATATATATATATATATATATATTGGCCTAGGTATGTTTGTATAAATATACTACTACATAACGGGGCTCACATACATTAAGAAAGAATTGAGCGTTTAATAAAGAAGTCAACCACTAACACACCACAGATCATGAAACTGACCAACGTATAACTGACCAAAAAAACTGACCAACGTATAACTGACAGAGAAACTGACCAACCACACTACGGCGACAAACTGACCATCGCGTCACTGACCCTTAAACTGACCAATCTCCTAGCTGAACATTCTCAGGACTAATCTTTCAGCTCTACGTCCAATTGTCCAGCACTGACCACACTCTACAACTGACCAATCAAACCTCACCAAACCACCCTCACCCCTTTTCTCCCCCATCTCACTAAGCGAGGTAACTCTGAATCAATACAACTAAATAATGCTGTAGTAATTGAACCAACGCTTAGTTGACACGTATTCTTCTTCAGTTAATTATCCGAACATTTGCACGTTACTGACACACAAATAGCCGACAATTACTTTTTTTATGACATTTTCTTGCGTTAAATTATTTATCAGGGACAGTTACTATAGCAACCACAAGAAGCGAGGGAGGGGGTAAAGGGGGAGAGGTGTGTGTGTGTGTGTGACAGAAATGCTGAACAGTGAATAGAAGAAGCGTCATACGAAGGGGGGGGGGATATTAAAATTAACCTTAAGGGTAATTATCACCCCCCCCCCCACACACAGACAAGCCGAAAGATCTCACAGTTGCGAGTATTTTTTCTTAGGCCTATTTTACATATGGGTATCCACGACATCGTTTAGTATTGTGTACTATCTTCGTTTCCTTTATTTGATTTTAGTTTAAAGTTGTTTCTCTTGATCATGCTAGTCCAGCTAAAGTTGTTTCCCTTATTTATGTTAGTCCAGCTAAATCCGTACCCGTTTTTTTACGTTTCTCCTCTTTAATGTCCATAACTAGATTGGTTCTATTATGTCGTGAGAGAGCTCATGTTGTTCTCAAACAGAAATTTCACAATCTATTTGACACATGCTTAAAATATTGCATTCACTTACATAGGTGTTATTCATACTTTCACAAGACCTGCGACTTTAGCACTACTTTATGTTTTTATTTTCAGAACCCACTCACCTAGTAAGGCTTCCATTCAGTACTAGCACACGATGTATAGCGTACATTTGCTCACACTAAGCTGACATTATACCCAGTACATGTAGGATACTGTTAGCTCGAATTTAGTTCACAAAATTACCATGTAAAAATATCATTAACTCAAAAACAGGAAGCTCATTCAACCCCCCCCCCCCCCACTCCCACATACACAACTTTTCCAACGGATGTCTTCGGGTAAATAAAGCATTGTAAAACAACTATCAAAGACCTATTTAAAACTATCAAATCTCTATTTAAAACTAACAAAGCTCTAAGAAACAAAAAAAAAAACAACCACCATTTTCCATTAACTACGAACAAAGAATCCATTGTATCATTTCCAAACAGCTCATTAAAATCTTGTGTTTCTACTTTGACACTGTCATAAATATTTCAGCAAGAACTTTGTTTTCATTTTAATGTCTTAAAAAACAAAACAAAAAAAAAAACCATTCGTCCTCAAAGGTGAAAAATCTCTTCATGAAATCTATGTCGTCTTTGGTCTCGACCTCACTGCAGCAGCGGTTGGCCATCCGCCCCGACCCCGGCGGGCCAATCATGTGCAAGATTTGTGGGAAGATGTTCTCTAGCCAGAGCAGCCTCAGCACACACAAGAGGATCCACACAGGGGAGCGACCTTATAGGTATTGTTGGTGGGGGTCGTCGTATGGGTGGGTGGGGGGGGGGGGGGACACACACGGTCAATTAGAAGATACCGAAAACTTCAAAATAGTAAAGTACATTCCCAACTTCAATCCTTGTATGATATTAAATACTAGGCATATATATGTATATACTTTGATTTTATTCGTGATATATATATATATATATATATATATATATATATATATATATATATATATATATATATATATATATATATATATATATATATCACGAATACGATTTAAGTATAATCGAAGCAGCTTACCTTAAGGCTATAACTTACCTAAATTAAAATAAGTTACCCTGATTCCTCCTCCACAATAATACGTAGGTAACCAAAGGGTCCCTCTAAGACACACCTCCACGATCGCGCCCTGGGGGGAGGGGGTTAAACCTAAGTGCACCCACCCAGGCGCCCCCTGACATCTCTCCGTGTGTTTCCCCAGATGTTCCTCGTGCGGAAAAAGTTTCACCCAAATTGGGACCCTGAGAACGCATGAGAGGATACACACAGGAGAGAAACCCTATATCTGTAAGGTGGGTGCACTCAACTCTTTCACCCCCCCCCCCCCGTCGTTATGTGCACCACACACCCCCCCACACAGGAGAGAAACCCTATATCTGTAAGGTGGGTGCACTCAACTCTTTCACCCCCCCCCCCAGTCGTTATGTGCCCCCCACACCTGCCCACACACAGGAGAGAAACCCTATATCTGTAAGGTGGGTGCACTCAACTCTTTCACCCCCCCCCCAGTCGTTATGTGCCCCACACACCCCACACACAGAAGAGAAACCCTATATCTGTAAGGTGGGTGCACTCAACTCTTTCACCCCCCACCCTTACACACAGGAGAGAAACCCTATATCTGTAAGGTGGGTGCACTCAACTCTTTCACCCCCCCCCCAGTCGTTATGTGCCCCACACACCCCACACACAGAAGAGAAACCCTATATCTGTAAGGTGGGTGCACTCAACTCTTTCACCCCCCCACCCTTACACACAGGAGAGAAACCCTATATCTGTAAGGTGGGTGCACTCAACTCTTTCACCCCCGCCCCCACCCCCCCCCCCCCCCCACACACACAGGAGAGAAACCCTATATCTGTAAGGTGGGTGCACTCAACTCTTTCACCCCCCCCCGTCGTTATGTGCACCACACACCCCCCACACAGGAGAGAAACCCTATATCTGTAAGGTGGGTGCACTCAACTCTTTCACCCCCCCCAGTCGTTATGTGCCCCACACACCCCACACACAGGAGAGAAACCCTATATCTGTAAGGTGGGTGCACTCAACTCTTTCACCCCCCCCCCCCCAGTCGTTATGTGCCCCACACACCCCCACACACAGAAGAGAAACCCTATATCTGTAAGGTGGGTGCACTCAACTCTTTCACCCCCCACCCTTACACACAGGAGAGAAACCCTATATCTGTAAGGTGGGTGCACTCAACTCTTTCACCCCCGCCCCCACCCCCCCCCCCCCCCCACACACACAGGAGAGAAACCCAATATATGTAAGGTGGGTGCACTCAACTTTCACCCCTCAGTCAGTCTGAGCCCCCTTCCCCCCTTCCCCCTCCCTCCCCCCACTGTCGACAACTTTTGTTTCGTTTGCTACCCCAGGAGTGGATCTTTTATCAATAGGCGATATGCAATTCAACGACGTGAGAATATCCATTATATAGCCTACACAGATTGTAGGCCTATAGCGAAGCTTTAGAAATCCGCCAATCTTATATATTTATAATTTATATAGATATATAAGTATATACAGATTTGTTAAGTTATATAAATAATTATATACAAATAAGACACTCTTCCTTAACTAGCCAGTTGTTATTTCCGAATGCGAATATATTTTAACATTTCCGAACTCTCGGATTCCGCTGATGAAGATGTTGCAGACCATCAGGGGAGACCATCGTGAAGCGACCAGGGGAGACTATCGTGAAGCGACTAGACCAGGGGAGACGACTGATGGCGTTTCTCTGTACCCCAGGCCCCAACACGGCCAGAGTTTACCGTCCCTAATTTTGTACACCAGCAGGTCGTGACGCTGAATGCTAAGCAACGTCTGCTGCGTCAAACGACATAGAAAACATGCAACTTTTTATTTCGCCGAGTGGACGAAACAATTTTATGTTCCCAGCAGTTTTGGGCGAGTCTTGAGGCAGCTGTGTGTATCATTATACTCACATTGTGACTTTTGAGGAGTCTAGAGGAATAAGATTTCAACAGTTATGTTTATCTTTATACATCGAGAGAGACAACACAAAATCCTTATAGCATTCAAATATCCATCTCATTCACCAAATGATACACCTTTAAACACCTAGGTATCTATAGCTTTCTAAATCTTACCATGCAAATGAGTACTTAGGTAATAGAAATAGTTTCATAAAGCACGCCTCCTCCCTGCTCATTCGTCAATATAAAACACACCATCTACCCTACATACCACCCCCTCCCCCATTCATACCACGAGAATCCAATATTAGATTTACATTAATGTTGGAAGGAAGCTGTTGTTTACTTTGGCGTTACCACTCCAGAATGTGTAACTATTTCTTATGTCACCATTCCCCATGACGTCCCAGATTATGTCACCATTTGACGTCCCAGATTATGCAACCATTCTCCACGACGTCCCAGATTATGTCACCATTCCCCATGACGTACCAGATTATGCAACCATTCTCCATGACGTCCCAGATTATGCCACCATTCCCCACGACGTACCAGATTATGTCACTATTCCCCATGACGTCTCCCATCAAGACGCCAACGTTTCCCCACGACGCGATTACACCACTTGCTACCATTTCCCATGACGCCATCCCCGCAGTAAATCTCCCCGCCGACACCCGCCGTCATACCACGTGACCTACCAAGCTTGAAAAATTGCCTCATCCCCACCCCCCACCCTCCCAGGGCCCGCTACTCTAATTCTACTTTACGGTGAGCGCCGGAGCTGTTGTAGAAATTACGTGTGGCATCTTGCACACTTTAGAAACCATCGCTCATCCGATGTGGTTAGCGCCACCACACTGCCACAGGAAGTCCGGATCATTGGTCCATCCACTTCTTTAGACACTGGGCGGGAAGTGGGGTGTGTGTGTGGGGGGGGGGGGGTAATTTTTTTAAAGCTACGTGAAGACATCCATTTTCTTTGAGATTATATTTTAAATTTTAATTTTGGAGCACTAGCGGTTTCACTTCAGAATTTTTTAAAGATGTTTGAGAAAAAGAATAAAAATAAATAAATAAAAACTCGGCGCAAAATTTTAAACTGATCGTTTGTTTTTTACGTTCTCTTATTGATGAAGTTAAAACTATATTTCAGACATAGTGGTTGTTGGTAAAAGTTTGACATGGAATTTTAAAAAGCACATTAAACAGGATTTTTGTAATCCACAATACACATGTCTTAACATAACCCACATAAGCAATCACAACCACTACAACCTAACACACACAACTAACCACTAACACCTAACACACACAACCAACCACTACCACTACCACACACAACCAATCACCACCACTACAACCTAACACACACAACCAACCACTACCACTACAATATCACCTACCACTGTTAATATTTTCTGATTTACTTTTTCTGACCAAATCGCCTCATTAGGTTCTCTCCAATTCTCTACTCTAACACTAGATTCAAAGAATTAGTTTTGTATTTCCCATTATTCTCAACACCCAGTTCCCCATGGATACTACTCGATACAAGCTTCATGCGATGTTCCCCGGCTCTAACACTTGACATCGCCACAAGAATCTTTACAACATTCCTTTACTGACATCGTTATGTTTGTGTAGTATGTGGCTTAAAAAGTCAGCAAATGAAATAACAACTTGAAATATCTTTCCATTGTACGCCAAGCCTGAAGGGAATAACTTTTACATTCTGCACTTCAAAGCACACACGTTTAAATCTTTCGGCTTTTACACTACATTCTGCTGGTAAAACTTGATTTTTGTATACGGGGCTTTAATCTACAACTTTACTGTCAACATATCGTGTTTTTACATTGTTCTTCATTCACTCATAAATAAAGCATGTTTACATGTGCGCATTTTTTTCATGCAGTCCAGAAAGACGTCATACTCAGTTTTAATGAGTACTCAGCAGCTGAAGAAATTCGAACCAGGTTGAATGTCGGTACTATGGTCGCGAATGTGATCATTCCGCCACCATTACCGATGGAGCTAACCCTAACCTAACCTGTTTAACTGACGGTCGAATTGTCTTTCCCAGGTGTGTGGGCGGACGTTTGCCCAAAGCGGAAGTTACCGGATGCACGAGCGACGTCACATGACCGACACCATCCAGCGCTGCCACATCTGCTACGCGACCTTCACCACCTGGCAGGATCTGCAGAGACACATGGCGTCACACCCACAGGTGAGTGCCAGACACCTGCTGCAGGTGTTTCACATTACGTCATACATCTGTCTAGTTAAAGGTGTTTCACATTGCGTCATACATCTGTCTAGTTAAAGGTGTTTCACAGTACACCTTTCTAGTTAAAGGTGTTTCACATTACGTCATACACCTGTCTAGTTAAAGGTGTTTCACAGTTCGTCTTACACCTGTCTAGTTAAAGCAATAAACGAAGTCGAGCCGGTACAATCTAACCCCAAATTCGTGACGTCATTTCTCGGACTTGATTCTGTAAGACGTACCTGAGTCAACCCAGCTATGATGGGTACCTGACCATATTTGGTGAAATTAAAAGTGGCGATGTTCTGGCGATAACGACACTTCTTTGTGTAACTAAAACAGTTTGACTCTACTTCACCTACCTCTCCGGGCCACTTATTTTGAAATAGTTCTTTAGTTTGTTTAAAAAAAAAATTCCCCAATTTATCCCCATGCAATCTTTCCCCAGGTGACGCAGGCGATTCTAGAATTCGAAGAAGGCAACCAGGGCATCATTGACCGCTTGAGTTCCGGCGATCTCGGTGGTCAGCTCGGCGACGGAAGCATCGGTCAGCTCGGCCATCCTGATAACGATGGCCAAGGTCACGGCCACGGCATGCTACCAGGTCAGTCCCCGGCCATTCTAGTTCCTGTATCCATGCCTTCTCCTTGAGTTAACACTGTCTTTTCATCGAGAGGAAAAGCAAACACGATAATTTACTTCATTAACTTTTTGTGTTAATTATCGATCTTTCAGGTGATACACGAGACATGGGCGTCCCCCACCCCAGGTGTCCCCCTCCTCCCCTTATACCTGAATCTCTTCTCCTGGAGTCCGAGGCGGCAGCATTTCACGTACAATCTCAAGGTAAAATATTTTCTCTCTATGTGTCGCTAGGTGTGTTAACTTGCTGTTAAATACAGATAGGTTATTCTTAGCATGTTCACCTTTTTAAAGTATTATAAGAAATTAATTACATAATTTTAATACTTTTTTATTCACTTGTTTTAAATTATATATATATATATATATATATATATATATATATATATATATATATATATATATATATCATAACTAAAGTCTTACAGTGTTTTGTACAGTGTTCTTATTTTACAGTAGTTTATTTTATATTGGCTCAATCTTATATTAATGTAATCCGACCGATTTTATAGCAAAGTCCGACAATTTTTTAACAGTATTATTTGTAACAATACTTGTAACCAAACCCTAACAATGTTCCTAGTTTGGTTGTAACGTTACATGTAACAACCAACACCTGACCATCTTTTTGTTTCTTGCAGGCCTCTACCACTCCCCGGGCCAGCTGCCACCCTTCTCCTCCATCCTCCCCTTCCGTCACCACCCCGGCGGTCCCCCGGCGTTCCCACCCACCTTCCCATCGGCCCTCGGCCTGCTCGGAACCCAATCACTTCCGGTCACGTCACACGCCGACCTACTGACCAAACACTCCTTCTTCGGCGCAATGCTGGGCGGACCCCAGGTAAGATGTTCTGACGAGCTAAGCTACCTGGTGAGTTCACGGGATCAACCTGATCGTATCATGCATGCTTGTTTGGTGTCACTCGTCACGTGATGGTCGTCCACCAATAGATAGTCTTGTTACATTCGAATTCTAGAGTCACTCCCGTCTATCTATAGAATGTAGTAGCTTGTTCACATCCCCCCCCCCCTTCTTCAAAAAGTCAGTTTTCATATTCCCTAAAGTCGAAGTGTTCAGATACCCCACCCACCAAAATGTCGCTTCCTTTCGAGTTATTTAATTACACAATTACTAATACAAACCGTATTTTAGGTATAAAATCTCAACTCATCCCACCCCTTCTCCACCCTCCCCTGTTATATAATTTTAAAAAACATGTTATTCCCCTCCCCACCCCTCCCTCACCAACACCACACCGGAAACGCCCTGCCTCTAAGCCTGACTAATAGACAACCTTGACATTGATGCATTGGCCTTACCCCCAGGAGAGACCCACTGAAGATGCTCTGTCTTGCAGTCTCCAGAGAGAGTCACAGCTGTTCAACCCGCGAGTCAGTAAAGCCGCATACGGCTCTTGAAATAAATACCCTGCGCTATATTCAATGTAGGGGGGTTCCTCTTTTTAAAAATGGACATCAACTCATAACTAAAACTGTTACTTTTATTTCGGCGGTAAAATAAATTAAAAAAAAAAAACAAAAAAAAAACAGAACTAATTCACGAAATGTCTCTTTCACTCAAAAAGGTCCCATACCCCCGCGCAAGTTTGCTTGTTTATTCATCATCGGTGTAGTTTAAAAAAATGCTTGGCTAGAAATAGATTTACAATCAATCTGTTTCCACTTTTGAGTAGAAATTTCCTCTAAACAATACAGTACAACAGAAGAGCAGTACAAGCATGTGAGTAGTGCATTATATACAAAAATACACTTCTTTAATACATGTCTAATTGTCCTCGATACGACTATAGATTCGAGTATTTGAGCATTTGAGTAAATCAGGCAATGGACGACAGAAACCATCACTACATCTCCACAAGCAGCGGTACAACAATTACTTTATCAGCTTACATAAAAAAAAAACGTAAAAAGACTAAAAACAACAAAATAAAACCTAACAATGAATGTCGATATGTCACCCGCTTCTAAAAGGTCGTTTCTCATTGGTTGAAAGTCTCCGTCTGCTGACTATCTTAATATTATGATTGGTTCTCCTGGGACATGCGCAGAGCAGGCTGGAAGTTTCCATTAGTCGAGGGTTGGTGTGAGCGATGTATCGAGCCGCCTTAATGCACAATCCAAAGGGGGGGGGGGGTTAAAAAAACGATCTGAGGGTATTACGTAATATAACGACGTTGATTATATATTTAATTAACGCTAAACACAGGCAGTGAAATAGCACTAATTTATGCCCATCATAACGAGCAGGTCACATGATGCCCGTATGCACGTTCTAACGTCTCTTGACTCTAGCCATCCCTCAACATTTCATTCTGTTAGATTTAGTTTCTAGTTACATTGTTAGATTCTTGATCTTCTGTCAATCTTAGATACGTGATCTCATATCACATTTTATCTACTCTCATATCTCATTGTTAGATTCTTGATCTTATGTCAGTCTTAGATTCTTGATCTTCTGTCAGTCTTAGATACATGATCTTATATCAGTCTTAGATACGTGATCTCATATCACAGTTTTCTACTTTTATATCTCACATTGCTAAATTCTAATTTCACACTATTAGTTTCTTGACATCGTTTCACATTCCTAGATTCTTTCAATTATGTCACATTGTTAGATTCATGATCTTAATTCTTGATATTAGTGTTATATTCTTGAGTCATTTTTATGAACTTTTAACATTATTACATTCTAAATCTTAACTTCTAATTTCACATTGCAAACATTGGTTTCCTAAACTATCCATTTCTTTCCAAGCAAGTAAAATCAAATAAGAAGAACAATATACAATTATTTTTGAATTTTTTTTTATGTAGCCGCATTAAAAGTTATAGTTTTGTTATGGTACTTTATACTGTAAAAATTACATCAAATCAATGGTAAATCGAAAAATTCAAAACATTTTTTAGTAATAAATATAATTTGTAAAATTAATAGGACTATATTTAATAAAAAAAAAAGCTGAGTCGCTGAATATATCCACCTTATGTTTAAACCCTCTACTCTCGAATGGGTCTTTAGAAAAATAATTTGGTATCAACGCCGCTCATCTTTAAAACACCACACAGCACCCAAACTTAAGCTTAACCCAAAATATCGACATCAACAACTTGACAAGATTCTAAGTCAAGGTCTACATAGACACAGCATGGTTTTATGACATTGTGTAGGACCTTGTATCCGCATTTTGTAGAACTTTTGGCACCCAGGACATTTCGATTCTGTCGATTGGACACTTGTTCAGATTTAATGAATTAATGCATTAGGGATAGCATTATTGGACATAAAATAACGTTGGCAGTGTCACAACACACAGTAGTTGAATACAACCATGTTCAATGTAATGAGTGTTGATACTATTTTTTGTAATTTTATTGAACTTACTAGATCTATGTGTTGATGCACATTTAAATATTAAATTAACGTTTTATTTTACGTCATTGTAATTATTTACTAATGATAAAATAAACACATTATAACGGTGATCTTAAAATTTTTAAACATTTGATGTGGCCTTGACAGAATCGAAACATTTGTGTGTCAAAAACATACATAACATGCTTCACAATTTAAACCTCTAGGTTTCACGGTTTAATACTAAAATAAAGAGTAAATTGCATTCTTATGAAATATACGTTCCAAAAGGCGTATCAACCTCAATGATACAATTATAAATATGTGAAACTTTTTATTGCTTTAATAAAAAAATGTATTGCTAATTCTGGCATAGACACAGATTTAAATCGTCATTTTTATGATTTCTTTCCATAAGTTTTTAAACTTAAAAATACGTTGCTATGTAAGGTATGGGTTGTAGACATGCATGCCAACACAGCGGAGACTAATGTGCTAGAAATAATTTTAAGTTTGACTAAAACAAAAGATAGTGACGGGCCCTTGCATCGTATATTCTAGTCCCACTGTTTCGTGTTTCTATTATTAGCTCAATGTTACCCAGGTATATTCGTGTATGTGTATGTGTGTTAGACATTAAAGGTGAGTGCAACCAGTGGCATAGGCAGGAATTGGTCACGTGATCATTAAAAAAACTTTTCCCATACACAAACGCACGCATACACACATATAAAACGACTCAAGAGCATAGATAATTTTTTTAATAACATCTAAAATTTTGTAATAAAATTACACGAACACACCTTCGCAAATAGGTGTGAGATAACATGGGGTTTCATTGGGGAAGGGGGGTTATAACCCCCCCCCCTCACTAGCACCACCTGCCTACGCCACTGTGTGCAACCAACGACATCACTCAACGTTTCTCCTCTTGTTTGCTCCCCCCTCCAGATGAAGCACGACGCCCTGTCGAAGCTGTCGCCCACCTACTCCCCGCAGCAACAACAGCAATTGCAACAGCACCACCTACAGCAGCACCAACTCCACCAGGAGCAGCAGCAGCAGCACCTCAAACAGCAGCACGACAACAGCATTAACGACGGCACCGACGTGGTCAGCACCACCTCCGCTGCCAAGCGGACGGACGCGGAGCCGCGCGCCAACAGCCGGACGTACACGCCGGAGGAGCGCTCTGACACGGAGACCCTGGCCAACCTGAAGGACGACAAGGCCAGCCCGCCCTTTACGCGGAGCGTGTCCAGTGACGAATGCGTCCCCAGCCCGGACGAGAACCACATGGAGCAGAACGGGGACGAGGACCTGCCGCCACACGATCACGAGATGGCCGACAACGACAACGACGACGACACTGATATTGATGAAAGATACAGCAACGACCGCGGCGGGTACTCGATGAGTTCCAGACGGTTCAGCCATAACGAGGAGCGGGAGAGGGACCGAGAGCGGGAGAGAGACAGAGAGAGGGAACGAGAAAGAGACAGGGATAGAGAGAGAGACAGGGAGAGGGATAGAAGCGATCGAGGGTTCAGATCTCGGAAACGAAGCAGAAGTTTCGAGAAAGAGAGACGGGAGAGCTTGAAAGAGAGGAACCCGTCAGGGGGCAACAACTCCGGCAGCCAAAGCAAGGGCGGCAACCGCGACATGGAATACTCCCAAGACGACGACCCGGAGCGCGAGGGCGACTACGACCACGACACGGACCGAGGCTACGACCACGACCGCAGCTACGACCAAGGTCACAGCGGCCGCAGCAGCCGGAACAGCGTGAGCCGGCACGAGCAGAGCTTCGACCACAACGCCGGAAAAGAAGACGACGCGGTGCCGGCCGGCAACAAGACCGGCGCCGGCAACACGGACAACTCGGACCTGAGACCGCCCAAACGGCTCATCGAACGGCAAAACCTCAACACCCGCATGATCCCCTCGTCTTCCTCCAGGAAACAGCGCCACCCCATGCGCAGGTTCAGCAGCGCGGGGAGCGAACAGGAATCCCCTCAGTCGACCTCCAGCCTCCCCGTCAGCTCAACCACAGTCGAGGCCATCGAGCGTGGCGACCTTGACGATAACGAACTCGTGACCTTCCTGCTGACGAAAGGTCGCGTGCACAAGTGTGTTCACTGCCACATGATATTCAAGGACGCGTCCCTCTTCCTCCTGCACAATGGCTTCCACGCGCACGATGAGCCGTTCCGCTGTGTCGTCTGCGGCTCCGTGTGCAAGGACCGCATCGACTTCAACTGTCACCTGACCAGTCATATAAAATGACTAAATTCGAAAACGGTAGCAAAGAACGATTAACTCAACGACCGTACTCTTCCAAAAAAAGAAAACAAAAAATATCCTCTCCCCCACCCAACAAATCTTTGTTGTTTAACCATGACAGTTGTTGTTTGAATAACATTTGAAGTCTCAAGGGCAGACAACCTACGACCAAAGCCATAACCCATCCGGTTATATATAGGGCACCATGCTTTTATTATGACATCATATCTTCCAATAGTTACAAACTTATAGACAATAAAACTTCTCACTCGTTATTGTGGTATTGGACTTGCTTCTTAACAACAACAAAACAAGATGGCCGCGACCTATTTAAAAAAAAAACGGACCATATTTTTTTGTGATTATTTTTTTCTCCTACGAATGATAAAACTTTTGCTTGATATTTCATTCTAAAGTAAACAATGGGGGAAAAAATGTATTTTAAATCGGAAAGTAAAACCAAAAAGAATGAATACCACCGTGAGAGGTTCAAAGAGCCATCAATAGCAGACGATAGTCGTGGATAAATGTTAGGTGTTGTTGGACCTAGTCTTAGGTGTAGTGTGTGACTTGTGATCATGGTTTTCGTTTTTTTTTTTTCATTCATTCTTGTTGGTTACTTGAGTCAACGTGTCAGACGAGCGTTGATTGGTTCAATCCAGGGTCAAGGGTTACACTTTTTAAAACATGTCTTTCTGACATACGTGTGGTTAATATAACCTAGTTTATAAATTTTGTATAAAAATGTTATATAATAGTGTATTTAAAATTACATTTCATTTTCAGTTTTAGGTAAAAAAATTAATTTTCAAGTGGTCCAAATTAATTAATTAATTTAATATTACAAGAAACGAAATTTCATAATAAAAAGTGTAATATTTTTTTCCGATAACATTGTATTCGGAAGAAAAACAACATAATTCGTTGTTTCTTAAATTGATATTGTTACCTTTTTTTTTTATTATTCTTTCGATCATTGTCACATTTTAAAAAATCTCTGTGTACAAATCAATAAATATTTAACCAACATTGTGTACATTTTAAATATACACCACGACGATTTTCATTACTAGTTGTACATTGATTACTATTTTACTGAACTCGATGTTTGCTATATATTTTGTCTATCTTTTTTAAACAGCTCTTTGGTGTGAATCTCACTTCATATTTTGTTCACCTCTGCATTGAATCACCATATCACGTTGTTTGTTAGTTCATGGACCAAAATTAAATGACGTAGAATTACACATTTACCAATTACATGTTACAAAATCATCCATTCTTATGTTTATGAACTTTAACCCGTGATTACATTTGTTCCCTATAAACATTTTTTTCTTTATCTCAGTCAGGTTTATCTTTTTAAAATTTCTTCTAGGTTTCACTTAAATACAGCAATGTCAAAGATAGGTTTAATAAACATGTAGGCCCATATACGCTATATTTTTAACTGTCGATTATTCTATCTATGAAACTAATGCTGGACAATATGTTGAAGGAAACCACAAGAAATTAACACTTAGTTCATAATTCAACTTACTCATAGATAAAATTAGGTAATATGTTATTATTATAATAGATCGTGGACGTATCATTGAACAAAAATAAGACATTCTAGCCCTACCACCCTAAACCACATAAGGGTATATTTTATTTCATCCGCCCGCCACATAGAAATTTTAATTTTTTGTTTTGTTTTTAGAAAATGACTTTTCTTTTCAAACAGTTGTTAAGCCCTAATAAAAATAATATAAAGTGTTAAAGCCGTTGGAAACAAAAACCAATGTATCAACAGTTGTAAACATTTTGGGAAATAAAGACGAAAAGATAATTAAAACATTGCCCTGAGCTACCCCCGTATAAACAATGTAACAGAACATAACAAAAACGAAAAACTATCACCTCATTTGTTATAGGCCTATAATGTATGCACAATCCCGTGTAACGGTAAATATGATTATAGGAGAATATATTTAATTCTTATATTCAGTAATCCAATAAAGCAAGAAAAAAAATATTTTTTTGATTATATAAATTTGATAGGCACCTCCTGTTTTTTTTGTTCGTAAAATAAAATCTTTTAAAAATGTCCAGCTATCGATTATTTAATCAGAACAAGACACATGTCAGAAGCAGGCAGCAGGCGTACATGTCTTGGGCGGGAACTAGGCGGAGAGAAGACCTACATGCCCTACACTCCATGTTCCCTTCGATTGTCCTCACAAAAATTGGATCTCATTTTGCCATTCAAATATACACTCTCGGACGAGCAAAAAAATGTATTTGAAAGCATCTCGAATTCCTAGTTAGTTTCGAATAATGCATTAATGTTTTTTAGATTAGTGCTAGCACCTCTGGCGAAAATTCGAATGCTCGAACGTAAATTTCATTATTTATCCCCCCCCCCCTTCCTCACACTTAAACACATGCTATAAACTCCAAGTAAAGAATTGCAACAGAACGCACTCAGAGACTTCAAATCCTTTCGGACACAAGGCCGACAACTCTTAACTTTTGTTTACGTCATGGGTCACATTTTTGTGCCTAGCAATTAAAATCTGGGATCCACTGTTTATCGCGCCCATGTTACTATATTTATATATATACTGCCAAATCTGCCCAAGACGGTATACGTACACCTGCTTCTTACTGTGAATACTTTACCAATAGACACGGATTCTGCCTAGTGCGCGAATTTTTTTTGTTCAAATAAAAACGTGAAATTTAACTAGTCTACACAAAATGTCGAGTTAGAACGTTTTAAAACAAAACACAAACCATAAATAAAACTCATACGTGAATAGGGTTGCCAGATACCTTTTCCGAAAATACTGGACACCTTTCCATCCTTCCCTTCTCATGTATGCCGCAAAGCAGAAGAAGAAATATAAAAACTGGACAAGTATAATACTTGTCCAGTATTTATATTTATTTTATCCTGGACAGTCTGCTCAAATACTGGACTGTCCAGTTCAAAACTGGACACCTGGCAACCCTATGCGTGAAAACTTTTTTGGAAGGCGAATGTGTATATGTAAATGTATATATATATACATATATGTATATATATATATATATACATATATGTATATATATATATATATATATATATATATATATATATATATATATATATATATATATACCCAACATACATTTTACGCGTGTTGGCTTCATTACCCCATTTGGAAAAAAATCCTGCTGATCCCTATAAACAAATATCCTGTTTTGTTTTGAAATTAACATTTTATTTCCCTTTTTAACAAGTCATAGAGAGGTTTAAGTTATAATAATCCCCCCTCCCTAGATCTGTTAGTCACATTGTGATATAGTCTGTTAATGAAAATTTAAGTATTAAAAAAAAAAATTCATTCCAAACGGCAAGCAGAATAGAAGCTGGCACAATAGGGCAAATGGCCACTTTCACTGTCATTAGCAGTCTCTCTAGGCTCATTTATTTTTTTCTGGTTAACTGACAATGATACTAATCACGAGGACAAGAATGCTACTCCCATTTACCAATTTAAAATTATCACATCATAAAATGATTCTTTTCCATTTTATCACAGACAATTTTCATCCATATCTAGTAAAATTATTACAATTTCCCATTTCTTAAATGAGCCATTTAAAAATATCAAATTATAATAATATGCTTACTGTTTTTATATTTTAAGAAATTAGAACTATATGGTGTTATTTTCTAATTTTAATAAAATTGAATTTTCAAAATTATATTAATAAATCCTATCACCATGCACGTTAGCCTTACATTTCAATTAACTAGGGTTAAGATAACTTAAAGAATTTTTGTCTTGTTTATTAAAGTAATAATTAAACCTCATGCTAGATCATTATGCTTAAAAAATATTCTAAGTTAACTTTGAAGGGTTCTCAAATAGATGTTTAATCCACCACAAACTCACTCAGCCAATTTCTTTCACGAAACAAAACTATTGGTTCTTTTAATAAAATAATTTCATGCACTTTTGACATTTACAGTGTGCCATAACATTTTTTTCAGTTGGAATTCTATTCTGTGATTAAAAAGTACAGTTAATTTATACTAAAACTTGTTTCTACTGTTAAATATATGTGCCATATCTTCAAGTGTAAATTTTAATATACTTTATAAAAAAAGTTTATTTTAAAACAAAAATATATTAGATTGCAATATCTTAATTAATAAACCAAAACTTAATTATTCCAATGCAAAATAAATAATCTCAAGTTTTCTCAATATTTAAGATAAATTCAATTTAAAATCATTTGATTAAAAGCTTAAATAGCTATCCTTTTGAAAATGAAATTTTAAATTCATAATTGTCAATTAATTGTTTTCTAAAAATAATTGTGCTTTTTAAAAAAATATCTCAAGATGTTAAAATATTTTTTTCAAAGTATTTTTTACATTTATTTCTGCATTATCAAACTGGCAGCTGAAATATGCTTTTTGTTTTGTCATTGACCAGATTTTTTTCATCAGTCTAACCAAAAATTATTTTCCGGTATCTAGTACTTTACTCAATTTCTCAATAGAACTTAATGATATGCAAGTCATACCATGATTCTGCTTATGTGTTTTAAAGCCACTCAAGTTCTCATAAAGATAAATTCCCTAATACTTGCTGTTATTCATTAGCATTTCTCATTGTGGTGGGGTTTTATATCAGCATTAAACTCATATCCAGAATGTCTTTCAAACCTTGAAGTTCAGAATTACATTCAATTTTTTTCATTAATTTAACACTACTAATATCACCAGCTGCTACCACTTCATTGGACTTTGTTGCTTTTCAACATTTGTTTTCTAAATATTGGTGGCATTTTATTTTAGTGCTTTGGCATCATAGAGCAAATCAAGAAATGGCAACTTTCATTTTATATTATCTCTAATATTCAAACACGTGTTTCATTAATCGCTTACATTTTAACTTACATTTTTTTGGGCCGCAAAGGTGTGAGTTGAAACGCACAAATTGACAAATTACAAACTGATGACTCCCATATATTATGTCTGCTAAATATTTTTATAACCCTAACACATTTTAAGCTTTTGCTATACAGTTGAGCTGATTTTTTTGTAAAGCTATATCTTTTTTTAGGATACTTAGGAATAAGGCAACCACAAAAATTGCATACTTTTTAATTTTGTTTAAAGATGAAGATATGGATATTGAAATTCTGAAACCACACAAATCTTTTTTTTAACATTTCTTTTAAACACATGCAGTTTCATGTGTGTGTATATATATATATATATATTATAAATATAATATCAGTGGTACTAGGTTGACTAAGGGCTGTTAACCAACATTTCTCTCCCCTACCTTTAAAATCGCACCTTCCACTCTTGAGTATTTTGTCTGTTCTGTATATTTAAAAAAATAGTCAAATATAAAGTAAAACAAATCTTCTTGCAAGTATATCATATACAGGCAGGCCAACTGGGGTACAGTTTTCATTTTAAATATATGTGATGCCCATATTTTATTTTTTTCATTTTGTTTATAGTTGACCATCTTAACCAATCGCCATGTAAGTTTTTTTGTTGTTACTTTGAAGAATCTCATCCACAGGAAATCATACCTTTAGCTGTGAGTAAGCATGAACATGCCATACAGATCAAAGATGTAAATATGTTGTTAAATATGCTGTCCTGACATGTACAATAGACTCCAACAGCAAAAAAACCATTTCTCGTTGTATGATATTGTAATTATAATATTTGTAAAGTTGAATTGGACTTGACTGCTTCAAACCGAGCTTTAAACATTGTTTCTTGTTACTCTATGTGCAAGAGAGCCTCCCCTGTCAAACTTTGCACCAAGAAAGATTTATATTCTGAGTACTTATCTATATAATGACCACAGTCCAGCATTCACGTTGATGTTTTAGTTTTAGATGCAACTGCTGGACCAGCTCAAAGACTTTATCCCAAAAAAATTTTTTCATCCTCAAAAATTTATGTCATCCTAAAATTTTATTTCATCTCAAAATTTTATTTCATCTTCAAGCTTGTACTATTCATTCAATATTGTCTAGGCCATCACATAATTAAAAAAAACAACAAATTGTTATTTTTTTAGACTATCATCCATGCATCCATGCTAATAACATTATATAGTTCCCCCCTCCCGAAACAACCACTACATAACGTTTTTTTTTTAGTATTGTAAAACCAGTGTGACCACTCTGAAGTTGTATGACAATGTTAACATTTTAAATATGTACATACGTTTGTTTAGTACATACATCTGTTTAGTACTTACTGGGATTTTTATTGTAGCCACTGGTACAGCCCCACCAAACGGAGGGGTTGTTTACCTTGTATTAGTACGTTACCTTTTACTATTATATAACTGTTATGGTAACAAAATTCAGCATACATATTCATTGATGATAATTATTAATTGTTGTTCTGTGTTTATTCATTTGAGATCTGAAGTTTGTTGTTGTCCTTATTAATATATACATCTATATATATATTATAAATATATATATATAAAATAAATATAATGAAAAAACTGCATCTCCAATTGGTGTGTAATAGTAGTGCTATTGTGAAAAGTTAATAATACTGTATAAATCATGGTATTATTAATGGTTATTGTTATTTTTTAAACTATTATTTCATCAAGGTATTTTTGTTGAAAACTGAGATTAATTTTTACCTTTTTGTTTACCTAAAAGTAACCATGTCAATTTGTTATTGGTGAGTTGTGTTTTTGCTTTATTTTGTTACTGGATTTTTGCCCAGTCAATGTAGTTTTCTGGTAATTAGTGTAGCCTAAATTACTGACTAAAAGGCCTAACATTTTTATACTGGTTAGATAAACTGGTTACAGATAAACAATTGTACTTGGACAGATTTTTTCAGATCTGCATATTTTTTAATGTACACTTTCTAAATTTAATCCAACAAGTATTGTTCATGTTTGTTTATACATCAATTATTTAAGATTTATTCATAATCTTTCAACAAATTATTACTTTTAAGTGTAAGTTATAATTTTTCTCTCTATAACCTTGCAATAAGACACAGCATTTTGGTACACAACTTTTTTTTAAACATTATTTTTTTTTTACCCTATAAAAATGATGTAGCACAAAAATGATGTCCAATGTATTGAAGTCCAATACCCAATAGATCAACACACCAACAAATGCAGTATAAAGGATGGCTGCCTAGATGAACTGACAATGATTAGCCCCAAGAAACAAAATTTCACCCAAATAGTAAAACACTATTTCATTTAAAAATAAAACAACAGTTTTCTAGAATATTCTTATTCTTTAATATACTTGCATTAAAAAAAAAAAAAAAAAACCCTAATAGAATGCTCAAATGGTTACTGTAAAAAGTCTACATGGTTTCCTTTTTCTCAAAACAAATTTAGTTTTTTTTTTTTTTCAGTTTGTAGAGATGAAGAGCAATTTCAATTGTCTGAAATTTAATACTTTTTCTGTACAAGATATACAGGTATCATAATTATAAATAATGGGAATTCTTTTTTTTTTAAAGAAAAACATTAAAGAATAAAATACTAAGGGAAAGTTTGCAAATACTGTTAGATAAAATTCAAAGGAAAAAATAATCTAATGAAATAGAAAAAAAATACACGATCAAGTCCCATAATTACACATGCAATACACCTGGTCAACTCTAAAATACCGTTTCAAAAATTCAGCCCTGCTGGTCCCATCAGAGATTTCCTTAGGTAATTTATTTCAATTTTTTTCCAACGTCATCTGTCAATGAATTAATTTGCTTTTTATGTATTATCTAACTTTAATTATAAATAATTGTCTTGTCATATATTTTT